AGAGATTTAATTTGGCTGTGTTTTTTGCATACGGGTGTCGGGTTTTTGGTGTCTTTTTGCAATTTTCAAAAAGTAGATGGATGGATGTGGTTTAACGCGTGTTACATAATTACATTTCAAAAATATTTATCATGTGTATTTTTATCAAATTTTAACCATGCAAGTGGACTATGTTCTAGAAATAGGTCCACTAAAAATGTAATTGATAGTTACATATCTTATACAATCAATTAAAATAAAAATAATTTTCTTTGAACCACTGGAAATTGACAGAATGTTTTATAATAACATTCTAATTTTAAATTTTAAATCCTAATACACATTGATAAAATGTAAAGCATACGTAAAAATTATTTCGAACCACTATAAATTGACACATAGAGATTCAATTGGATGATTCAAGGGGAATCTGAGGGATTATTTTCTGTTAAGTTAGGATATAAAATCATTTCTAGGCATAAAACTTAGGGAGAGATGATCCAGAGTAGTAAAAGTGACAAGGAAAACGAAATTGGAAATTAAAGAGTCTGATCTTTTAATATCAAGAATAAGCTTAAGCATTTTTTTTTTTTGGAAATGTATTCCACACTTGTGGCCTACTAACGACTTGTAAGAAGAAAAATGAAGGTAAGTAATTTGCTTGGACTAAGAAGGTTTGAAAGTTAGCTCCTGGGAATGAGAATGAAGATAATTTTGGGTTAGCAGCAGTTTTTGTGGGAAAGTTCTGTTATTTTTTCAGCAAAGATCCACTTTTCTGGAAGACATCAAACTTAGTACATTAATATTGAGGTTGGAATAATTAGTTTATTATGTGTTCATCCATCATGATTAGTTAGCTGTACTAATTAATCTATTTGATAAATAAAAAGAATAGAATTAATTAATATTTTTTAATTTTGTAACTTTTAATAGTAATTTTGTAAGTTTTAACATTTATTAGTTTTAAGACAAATGACTTTCATGAAATTTAAATTGTGATAAATGGACATGATTTGTCATTTTTTACGGTTCACATAAAATACCAACAAAAATCTAATTAATTAATTATAAAAGATACAAGAATATTATTGATCACATTCATTCGAATGAGCTACTTATACTTTTAAAATATGCATTATTAATCATTCTACTGTTTTTAAAATATTCCACATCAATAGTGTATAGATAAGCCTCATATGCATCATTTACTTTAAGTATATGAACATGAGTATTTTCTCATGTGTTGCTTCAGGCCAATTTTGTCCTTACACAACCATATTTTTTTCTTAAAAGATATGCACATAATCATGTTAAAACGTCATATTTTAAAAATTAAAATATAGAATTATATCATTTCATGAATCAAAATATATATGTTTATAGAGTATAAATATATCTTTTTATATATCAGCAATTTTAGTCAAATCTACAAGCAATAAACACAACTTTCATAAGATTGAGCCTATCCAAGTCGAGCTCAAACAGACTATTTTTATGTATAATTCAGAGCTCAAAACCCAAGATCTCCTACCAAAACTAAAATATGTATATTGATCATCATCATATCAAGTAGTATCAACAACTCATTAGGAAGCGATAAAGTTGTTTTCTTTTATAATATTTTTTTTAAAAAAAAAAAAGGATTCACAGAATTTAATGTCATGAATATTATAACAATGTGCTATACATGTTGGATACACTGGATGTGGCACATGTTCACAAATATATTTTACGTTTTTTCTTAATTAAATTCCTCTTGACCCAATCAAAATGTTTTTCTTGCAATTACGGAGAATTCACACTGTATAGTTGTCATCCAAATGTGCAATTTTTTTATTTTTATTTTCTTTTTTCATGATTTTCTTATGCATCATGTATGTTCAATGAGTGTATTCGAACTGTGTGTTATTTAAAATCTGGGCCAATTGCTATATTTGTTTTGGAAGGTCAACCAAATTGGTTGTAATTAATTTGGTGCATGAACTAAAAATGTTTGATCATCAGATATGTTAGGTAAAGTGGTGGGGAATAGGTTTGCTACCTCAACTGCATGCAATATTGACACTTCAAAAATGCATCATTTTTATATATATACAGTTAAATCAAGATGTGCCACTTCTTTGTATTTTTTAGGCTATTTTGTGTTTTCTATATTATTTTATACAAATTTCACGCTAAATTATCAAAAAGAAGAAAATGATAATAATAGGGATGTAGTCATTCTCTAGTAATAAGCTTATGTTGCTTTTGTATTAGAGCTGTGCCTTCAAACAACGGTTGAAAAGAAAAATAAATAAATAAAATTGAGTATTAACTGAACTAAATATTTAAATTAAAATAATAACTTACATCTTTGTATTTTGACTACGTAAATTAATTAAACTGGATTGTGAATTTTATTATTTAATAGCTCAATATCATTATCCAAATTAAATTATGTCATACAAAATAGTTTCTATTGTGTAAAATTATCGAGTATGTAATAAGTTTATAAAATAAAATTTTAATATCAAATTAACATACACAACAAACAATGTTATTTACGATATGCAATATAAGTAACAATTAAAATGCAATTCATTACATAGCATGCATTTTGAAACTTTGGTTTCGGTCACGTGATACCTCATAAATGAAACTATAACTTCAATTTGTTATACATGCATAGGGAAATTGTTAAATCATGAATCAACATCCACATTATTACAAGGTGGACCTTTCTCTCAATTATATACCTATAGATACATTAATATATTAGTGTAACAAATTATCAATTAAAACTACTATAATTACATTATTGAGAAGATATAAATATAAATATATAACTGATATTACATTGCACAGATAATAAATACACATAGGGCCTGGATACATTACGTAATAAATGGATTATATCAATATTTACTACTTATATACATATTTATTATTGCAGAACTAATATATTAGGTCAGAATCCAAATTGCAAGATAAAATTGAATTCATTATATAATTTACCAAAAGAGGGTATAGGATGAGGTATAGGGTATAGTACTATAGTGACTCCCACCCGTCCCAATCTATTAAGCTCAATTCAAAGTTTATAGATAAACACATTATTTATTAAAGTAGTTATCCATTCTATTTTTTCTATATATAATTTCAGAATCCGCTGGGCCTACGTGGCAAACTCTCATGCTTCGAAATCCTATTTGGCAAAAAATCATGCTTTAGAGTTAGACTTGGATATAAATTAATATTTTTTATCACACTAAATTCATGATTGATTTTTTCCTTCTTAATTTACTTCTACAATTAGTTATCATAAACTACTTTAAAAATTGATAACTTTTGTATTTCTTATCGGTTTTACATATATAATATATCAAATAAATTAGATTTTGATTAAACAGTAATATATATCCTTATAAATAAAATTTAAATTTATTTATTAAAGCTAGAAAAAAAGATAGCAAATCAACAAGCCCTAGATTTCTGAAGTGGAGCTAAGACGACATCAGTATAGAACTAAATTAAATTATATCAAATAAAACTGTAAATTATATTATAAAGTAATAGAAATTGGTATGTATTCTTTTAAAAATAATATTTATTTCAAATCTAATTCGTACGTTGTCAATCTAATAAAAATAAATAATTATTTATCTAAATTATAAAATTACATATAAAGTTAAAAAACTGTGAAGCACGACTGATACGACACTTGATGTATTAGACATCTAATTAAGTAAAAAAATTTAATCTATTTTTCTTAATCTTAAATAAACATATTCTACACTTATGCATATACATATCATAACACGGGTTGATATTTTTATTTAATGTACGGATATTTAATTATTATGATTAAAAAATATAATTTGATAATTTGATTAAAACCCAAAGTAATATTTTATATAAAATTATATTATTTTAGTTTTTTAAAAAAATATAATTTTACAAAAAATTTTAATTCAACACCCGTGTAATACACGGGAATTGTACTAGTAACATTTTAAAAGGAAAAAAAAAAATTGTTTTAGTTTTGTATTAACAATCTTTTATTTTTTCTTCTTCAAATTAAATATAATCACTAGAATCACAACCAAACTATATTTCCCAATCGGTTCAGTTTTCAATATACCTTTTAGCATTTTCGGGTCAGAGATTGCAATATATGAAATTTATGTAGTATATATTGTCTTTTATTTAAAAAAAATATATATAATAATTATCAGTGCGGAAGCAAAAAATGAGCATAGTTCAATTTGGGGACGAAATATCTTCCTAATCTCAAATATAACAAACGGTTCAGTTCCGGTCTAATTAGGGAAGGCCGCCGCCGCTAAATACCAATATAGTTGAACCTTATTAATAACTGCTGATGCACAACTTGCCGGCGGCGTCCAACTTTTGTGGGCTGATTAGGGGTATTATTGGAATTTTTGTGGCAAATTTGTGATCTGTACCATAATCAGGAGAAAATAAATGAAATATGGCCGGTAATTTCATTACTATTTTTGAAGATATTTGTGGAAAATTGATCACCCATTGACACTGCAGAAAATAATTATTTCTCTTCATATATTTTGATAAGGCAACATTTTTTATGTGGGTTGATGCAATTTTATCAACATAATTTTTTTGTGTGAGAGAGATGGTCTAATTGTTCGGCGTGCCGACTTTTTATATTTATATTTATTTTTTAACAAAAATACATAATTATTTTATGTTATGATATACTTTTATTTATTATCGTTTTGCTTTAAAAGTATAGTTAACCTATAACTTATTCATTAATTTGGAGGTTTTCCCTAGAAATCCATTAATTAGGAAGTACATCACATAAATTGTTGACTTTTATATATCTGTATGTTAGATTTAATCTCAATTCAAACTACAAATTTAAATTAAAGGCTTGAACTTGGGACAAATTAGAATAACATTGAGACGTTTACACGAAGTCAACTCTAAAATTGTTATTTTTTTTTATTTTCTTTTTGAAAGAAAAATTGAATCATTATCGTGAACCAATTAATGGTTGTGGGTATGTGTTCAGGTGTTTCGTGAAGAAATGTAGATGAATTGATGGTCCCATGTCCAACATTTTTGCATTGAAATGNATCTGAAGAATAAAAATAAAAAATAAAGGTCATATTTTCGGTGAATTTCATCCTACTCGTGTAGATAGTGCCCACACCAGTATTATTATCATTGGATCGACACATAAACGTGTATGTGAATTTAATCATTTATGTAATCCAACGATGAAAAAGCTCATATGTGCACTATTTAATTTTTTTAGTATTGGATATTTTAATATTTGCGACGAAAGGGCATTAGCAATTGGGTTGAGCTCGTTTAGAAATTGATCCAACAATTTAACCAATGTAAATTAATTATATTATCAGTAAGTTAAAGATGGGCAAGGTGTTGGCTGTTGGGTGAAGATAGTATGAAGTAATTTATTCAGCAGAATATTAAAATGGGATTTTTCTTTTTTCACATGCATTTCTTTAATTTGGAACAACATATTGATCAACTTTTATTCCATTTTCTTTATGATTTGATGTATGAAAAGAGAAACATTATCATACAAAAAATCCGTGGCATTTTCTCTCATAAAAGGAAAAACAGTGAAAGATTGTGACTTCTAACACTAAAACAATTGCAACTTGCAATAGATTTGCCCATCTTTTATATCCTCTCCTCAAAGCCCCTTATCTTCATACCAAATCTATCACATGTTTTCACATAGAAATGTAGAAATAACTTTGTTTCCAAGTAGGGTAATTGTACTCTTATCATGACATAACCATAGTACCAAACACTTTATACCCCAAATAGAAATATCCATATTAAATAAATAAAACATACTATCTTGATACTCAAAACTCAAAAGATCAATTTTTTTTTTTTTTATATATATAAGCCTCATCCATTGATCCAATCAAGAACATACCCAAGTTCATGCCCCAAGCTTGGAAGTCACTATTCCATGTTATTTTAAACCATTATTCAACTCACTAATTAAATTGGATAAACTATTTTATTCAAAATATATATCCCCAACCATATGATATAAGATCCAAATTAAATTGAAGTTGATAATCGACACATAAAATAAAATAACTAATATGGACTCCCTTTGTAGGACCAAACCCACGTGAAGACATTTCCTCTATGCATAAGAAGTCAGCCACAAATTGCTACAACAACCTATATATCAATCACTCTCAATCTCATTCAATTTCACACTTCATGTATATATAATATATGTAACAAAATTAACATTAAATTTAAGCTAAAGTTTCAATTTTGTCAAACCCCACTTAAATTACACCCTCCATTAATCTAAATCAATACCCTATATGTGATACCAACAAATTGCAATCAAGCTTGATTTTTCCCACCTTTATAAACACACACACACACACAACCCACACATATTCATCCACCAAAAAGAAAAATCTCACCTTTCAAATTTTCCTTTCAAAAAAACATTTCATCAATAAAAGAAAAAAAAAATTAAAATAAACATGAATGGTTCTCAAAACTCCAAACCCAACTCATCAAGGATCATAAAGAAGCGGCTGAGCCAGGACCAAGTCCGGCTCCTCGAAGCCAGCTTCGACGCGGGCCGAAAGCTCGAGCCCGAGCGCAAGTTCCAGCTGGCACGCGAGCTCGGGGTCCCGCCACGTCAGATCGCAGTCTGGTATCAGAACAAGCGTGCCAGGTGGCGGAGTCAAAGCTTGGAGCTCGACCACAGCACGCTCCAGGCTCGGCTCGAGTCCGTGTTGGCTGACAAGAAACGGCTCGAGAGGGAAGTCGAGGGCCTCCGGGTGGAGCTTAGGCGGGCCCACGAGACGATGTTTGGTCTGGGACAGGTGGCTGAGTCCAAGGCCCAAGCCCAGGCCCAAGCCCAACAGCTGGCGAGTTGTGGCGACAGCTCGAGTTTGAACAATGATGACGTGGGCGTGCAGTTTGAGGAGCTTTATGCTTGTTTGATGGTGGGCAATGGTGATATAGGAACCAATAATGAGTGTGATGAGGTGAATTATGAGAGGGATTTTTGGGTATAGTTTTAGAAGTTGATTGATGAGAATTTGGTAAAAGGATGGGGAGAAATTAAATGGAGAAAGTTAATTAGTTTAGTTTGTTGTGCATGGGATTTGAAGGTGTGATGAATAAAAATTTCACAAGTATGTATGTTGCAAGGTTATAGATGATTAATTTAAAATGTGGTGTTATGTATATGTTTGTAACTAGCTAGGCATAAGAT